AGATAAAATATCAAAACAGAGTCTGGCGCACGTAAAACTGAACCAGCGCCAACGCTGGCTGTTGGCACCAAGCGCCAAAGTTGGCGCCAGGCGCTACAGCTGGCGTTTGGCGCTGACTTAGAAAATCACGCGTTTTCTTAAAATCAGATAAAAATTGTCGTACAGGAGGATAAAATCGTATTTCCCTAAAAAATGCTCTTTGATTTTAATTAAAACTCTGAAAAGTCAACAAAAGTCAATTTATCAATGCTAATTGAATTAGGAATGAAAAGAACCTTCTAGAAGAATCTAGAAGACTAAAACCATTCCTAATTGCATTTGGAATGATAAATCATATTAGGCCCTCCCCTAGATCATTGGGCCGCATATAAGGCTCAAACCGGGCCCAATTCAGTAAATTGGCCATAACTTCCTCAATATTCATCGGAATTGGGCTTATAACATATCGTTGGAAAGCTCTTGTCAAGATCCATCCAACTACACTACTATTGGACCCATATCATGGACCAAACAAACTGGATTGGCTGTTTTCTTAAAATAAGTTTTCAAAAACAGAGAGAAGAGAAAAGAAATTAAAACTTTCCGCAACACTAGACTTTCCACACTTTCGCTTTATTCGATTATGATTCGACGCGAAAGGTACTCATCGCTGGGTTTGGTTTTGGGGAGACACAAATGGGTGTCTACACCTTCCCTACTACATTTTCAGATGCTAGCACCCCCATAACCTCCAAGCAAGCTATTTATTTTCATTTATGTTAGGGTTTCAAGGGCGGATCGGTGGTTTCATGATGATATAGGGAGATAGGGCGGTGTTTTCTGATTTGACATTTCCCTAATTTACAATTTTGTTAGTGGTTTTGTGGGTTTGTTTCAAAGGTGATGGGTGGGGATTCATGGGTTTGTTTCAAGTATGAGGGTGAGAGGGAAGGCGGTTTCGATGGTGGTGCTGGGAAGAGGGGTTGTTCCAGATGTGACTGGCTAAATTGGGGTGGTTTCTGGGGGAGTTCGTGGTGGTTGTCGAGGTAGTGGAGGTTCATAGGAAGATGGTGGTGTTTCATTTTTTTTCTTCAAAATTTCAGTTTTTTTTTTATTTTTTATTTTTTTATTATATAAGATCATTATTATTAATATAATGTTAAATATAAAAAATCTTAACAAATTACAATTAGACATGTGTCAAATGTAACCTGTAAAACAAGTTACCGATTTTTCGTTTTATTTTTGGATAATATGTGTCAAAGGTCGTGTTATTTTAATATAATCTAAAGGTCGTTTCATTTTTGGAAGACCGCTGAAAGGTCATGTTACTTTTGAAAAATTATCCTATTTAAAAAAGAGGGGGTTTTTTTTTAACTAAAATATTATGATGAATAGAAAAAGTTGTTGATTTATTTATGATTTTGTATTTTGTTTGTTAAGGTGATAACTTGGACTTTCTCATTGAAAAATTTCTTCTAAAGCGGATGTAGAATATTTAGTGTGGAGGGGTGATAAATAGGGGGGGAAAAAACACTTGTGTGAGGCTTGAACCTATGACTCTTTACATATATAAACTCAATGCATTACCACTATGACAAACTTTATTAATGTTATTTTTATCAAAATTGTATTTAACCTATAAAGTTATACCTTTACCTAAATAAATAAATAGAAAAAAATATTTTTGGGGGGGCCCGTGCCACCCAGGACCCTAAATAGGTCTGCCCTTGCTATGTCTTCTACTCATCTATGAACACACCCGCCCTTAGAAATTTCAAAAACAATCTCACTTTTAACATGAATCTTTCATTAATGATTCCTTTAACCTATAACCAGTTAAATTGGTTTTTTTTTAATCATCTCATTCCACCTCTCTTACATAGTTACCACCTGGATTGCCACCTAAACCACCACCATCTCCTCAACTCCTCACTCGTCAGCATATTATAGAGACTACTTTTCCTTCATTTAATATTCCAACTAATTCTAAAACACAATTGACATTTAAACAAAATTAGATATTAACGATCAATTACTTAAATATAGTCTATTACATTTAGATAGTTCTATCACCTGTCGTATTCGTGAAACTCCCAAAGATAACAACCTCTAATACATCTATCTATAAATATATATTAAAAGTCGGGAAAATTTGCAAATTGCATCCATTTAAAGTTTGTATTTTGCAAATTGCGTCCATTTAAAAATAAAATTGCAAATTGCAGCCCAAAAGTTCATATAAATTGTAAATTACAGCCCGATTCAACTTTTTCATCGGTTTACAAGTTGAAAAATCTTCGATTAAGGTTTTAGGGGCCATTTTAGCTCTTAGGGTCCGAATTGAGCTCGGAATAAGCAAAAAAAAATAACGCAAGTATCTTGTTTTGCGTAACAAAAATGTATCGATTTGTGGGAAACTGTAAATATGAGACACTTACGTTATTTTTTTGCTAATTCCGAGCTCAATTCGGGTCCCTAAGGGATGAAATGACCCCTAAAACCTTAATCGAAGATTTTTCAACTTGTAAACCGATGAAAAAGTTGAATCGGGCTGCAATTTACAATTTATATGAACTTTTGGGCTGCAATTTGCAATTTTATTTTTAAATGACCGCAATTTACAAAATACAAACTTTAAATGGCTGCAATTTGCAAATTTTCCCGACTTTTAATATATATCTATAGATAGATGTATTAGAGGTTGTTATCTTTGGGAGTTTCACGAATACGACAGGTGATAGAACTATCTAAATGTAATAGACTATATTTAAGTAATTGATCGTTAATATCTAATTTTGTTTAAATGTCAATTGTGTTTTAGAATTAGTTGGAATATTAAATGAAGGAAAAGTAGTCTAAACCTTAGGCGAAGATTTTTCACATGTAAAATGATGAAAAAATTGAATCAGGCTGCAATTTACAATTTATACGAATTTTTGGGCTGCAATTTGCAAAAAAAAATTTAAATGGCTGCAATTTGCAAAATACGAACTTTAAATGGATGCAATTTGCAAATTTTCCTAAAAGTCGTTATTAATCAAGGATACACGTCACGTAGCAGTTTATGTCAAGAATTGAACTCGAGTCTATTATTAGAAATTTAATAAGAAGTCGTACCATCTTTGCTATCTAATACTTTTGTTTATTTATTCTTCTTTTATATAGTTAATGTATGACACAAATTTTTTTTTCCCAACTAAATCTATAATAAAAATATTTAAGTTTATATAATACATGAAAACTATAATACGAAGTAAATAATAGTTAACGTATAGACCCGAGGCATCGCCCGGGCTAAGGGCATGTTCACTTCAGGTTAATTTTAGTTTAGTTTAGTTCTGTTCAGTTCAACTTCAATCAGCATGGCCATCTCCAACAATTTGGTGGCCCAGTTCTAATTATTAAAATTGGACCCTTCAATAAATATTATAATTATAAAATGGCTTTTTTTTTAAGTACAGTACTACAAATTATTATAGAGCTAAAATATTCATATTACTAAGTTTAATTGTAATTCAATAAAACAACAAACAAAAACTTTTTATCTAAAAAGTGTCATCCTTTTAATATTTTTTGAAGCAAAATCCTCAATTATATCTTCATTTTTTTTAACACAAAGCGACGATAATTATATTAGGCTAATGCCTTAAATGAGCAGTATTGCTCCATTGATAGTACTCTCTACAATGAGTAATATTCAAAATAGAACTGAGTTTGTTAGGGCTGTGGAACCCAAAATAGCTATACATACTAATAGCTAACAGAAGCCTACTGTTGAGTTGTAAACATACACTGCTACCACGTAGTAGGGGCAAAAAAATGCAATCGAACTTGAATTGGTTAGCAGCATGGACATCTGCTAGATCTGCTTTAGCCTCAGCTCTAGCACAATCAGGCACTGAGAAATGCATCTTATGGCCTAGGGTCATGTTCATAGCATATTGGGTCAGCTTGTGAGCCACTTTGTTCCTCTCCCTAGGAATGTGAACCATGTAAATAGTCCAGCACTTCAGAGTCAGCAGATTTGCAACATCCAGCAGAACAGCTGCAACTTCATGGTGAGGGTTGGTGGTAGCAGTACGTAGAGAGCATGCAAATCAAAACTTCTGCATCAGTTTCCACCTCCATAAACTTGATCTTGAACTCCTTAGCATCTCCAATCCCTCTCTGATAGCATAGAGTTCAGCAGCCAATGGAGTGATGGCATTGTATTTGCTTGAGAAGCCAATGTACCATCCTCTAGAAGGAGTTCTGATGACTCCACCTCTAGCTGCCTCAGAAGAACTCTTCCAGGCTCCATCCACGCTTAGCTTCACAAAACCTGGGGGAGGTCCCACCCATCTTGGAGGCCTAGCAACAGCAATGGCCTTTCCTTTTCCTTGAACAACATCCTGCAAAACATGGTTAGTAATTTGGTGATCAATTATAAAGCCATTGAAAACAGATGTCTTTGAGTAAACTGCTTCCTCAAAGATGATTCTGTTTCTGGCTTTCCAAAGATGCCATAAAGCCAACATGAAAGTAGTCACCCATTATTGATTAGTCTAGGAGAGGTTACAAACAATCCAATTATTCTAAGAATCTCCAAAGAAAGCATTATTCTCAAAAATTTTGGGTCTTTTGATATGTTTGAAAATCAGTTGCCAAACCTCAGAAGCTTTGGGACAATCTCTAAACAGATGAATTAGACTTTCCTCTTTTTGTTTACAACAAGCACAGATAGGATCAAAATTAGGGATCAAAAATTTTATTTTGCTACCCACAGGAAGAATGGACAGAACACAATTCCAAACAAACATTCTATATTTGTAAGGAACTTTTCTTTTTCAGAAGGTTTTCCAATTGAAAGCAAAAGGGATAGCCATATCAATTGTTTTATGTATGGCAAAATAGGCACTTTTTATGGTAAAAAACTAGCTTTGTCATAATCAATTATATCTTCATAATCAATTTAATTTTGTTTTGGAAATTAAAAGGCAAAGTTAAAGATTTAGGATGAATTTTTAGGTTTTAGTTAAAAAATGGTGTTATTTTACGGGGAAGAAGGTGAATATGGAAGGTTATAATTCTTTTTTTTTTTTTTTTTTAATTATGGGTCCCTGATTTTTGGGGGTCCTGTTCTGTCCTTCTGTGTGTGAGAAAAAACATGTCTAAAGACTAGCTTGCCAATTAGTTCAGTTCTGTTCAGTTTAACTCCAATCAGTTCAGTTCATTTCAATTCAGTTCAACTCAGTTCAGTAAATATGAACCGACTCTAAACACTAGTTTTATATTTGGTTGTTTTGTGTTTTCTTGTATAAGTTTTGTATAGTTGATTTCGTTGAATGATTTTATTGTTTTCTTGTAAAAAACAATAAAAATGTGGCCAAAAATCAAGTAGTTTAATAGCATTGGGTGGTTTCCATTTTCCAATCTACCATACCTAACTTATGCAGTAGATTTACATTTGGACATTATATGCAATCTCTGTGCTCGAACACTCTATCCTGTAAAATCAATTAATTTGTTGATAAATAGCAGCAACCAACTTCCAACGGCCCAAATAAACACCATGTAGAAGGCTGAAGGCCCATATATTATCACAGAATTTAATTACACCATCTGCAGCAACAATCAATTCCAATTATGTTGCCGGCACTTACTACTTGCACGGCCGTGAATGTGCCGCTGACACCGCCTAAGGCTGCTCGCCTCCAAAATCTCCGCTCAATTCCGCCGCGCTTTCCATCTATTTCTCAGCCATTGGAGTTCAATTGTCGACGGCATAATCAGCGCGCAATTCCTCTTGCATGTGCTACCAATGCGCCTGCGATTGATGTCGGAAATGGCAAAGGGTATTTTAATTGCTAAGTTCTATTTGTTTCTTGCTTTTAATTTAGCTTTTTAGTTGAAATTATAATAGTTTAAAGTTTCTTGTTCTTTGTTTTTTTTTTTGTTGTAGGATTAGGAAATGTGTCAAATTTTGTAGAAAATTCGAGATAGTAAGTGATTAATATGACAAATCGAAATTGGGAACTTAGGCTTTTGACCATATTTGAACGATAATATTATAAGGAAATAAATTTCATCATGTTGTTAGAATTGTTGAAATTTTTTTTATTATACAAATTCAAGAATAATAATATTTCGCTATACAAGTGAAATGAGATCTTGTGTTTTAGTTTGGTGTGAAATAAGATGTTGCGTTTTAGTTTGGTGTGATGTTGGCGAATGACTTGGTTTCTTACACATTCCATAATTTGTAAGGTCGTGATGATTATTCTTGTCTTATTTGCAGAGCAGTTGAGTTTTTTGAGATTGAGATGAAAGTACGTGACTATGAATTGGATCAATTTGGTGTTGTTAACAATGCTAGGTATGCGAATTATATCGAACATGGTAAGTAGACCATATACTTTGCTTTAAATCTTTTCTTTGCTAGACTAATTAAGCATTCTTTGTTATTGATGCTTCTTAATGGGTGTTCTGAAGTCTATTTGATGCTATTGCCTCCTGGCTCCTTCTTTGTTGTATAAGTGCTCTGAATGCTTGACCATATTATGCTATTTATGAATGTGAACAATCCTTTTTAGCAAGTTCCAGATACTTTATACCCTATTATGGATTCGATGCTTAGATAGAAATGATCGTGTTATTCACTATAGACATCCCAATATACCTTTTGGTACATCTTATTTTGACTTACTTTTGACAAAGTGAGTTCGATCTAGTTAATATAGTTCAAAAAAAGTTCATATCCCGCCCTTTGTTTCAAAATAATTGATACACTTCTTTCTTTTGGTCGTTTAGAATAAATGACACACTAGCATAATTGGTAAGGGACCACCACTATTAATTTTATCTGCCACACTCACCATGCCCCACTAACTTTTCTAGAAAATTCAAAAAAATCGCTCAGAGATTAAGCAATTTCAGATTTTTTAAATATATATATAGGATAATTTGTAAATAACCACCCAATAATAAGTCCATTTTAAAAATAACCACCCAAATAAAATTTATTTTTATTTAACCACCCATTAAATTAAGTAATCACACAGATGACCACCCATTTCAAATTCCCGGTGGAATTTTCGTCAGTGGGCCCCACCCAACGGCTAGTAACGGCTATTTTTTTTCTTTCTAATTCATTTCCTCCCCGATTTTTTCCCATAAAACACTTCCCCTCAATCAAATAGCAAATTCTTCTTCAATTTCTCCCAAAATCCCAGAAAAAAGACTTCCCCTAATTGCAGACGCATCCCCAAGGAAAACAGTAGCTGAATTCACAACAGGTATTCTTATTTTTTTTAAAAAAAATTAGGGTTCTTGGTGCACTGAAATTGGGGAAAATTGGGGGATTAGTTAATTAGGGTTCTTGTTGTTCAAAGTACGAATTATTTGTGTTCAAAGCACGAATTATTTGTGTTATTTCCACAATTAGTGTACTTGGTACTAATGAATTGGGGTTTTTATGAGTGACTTTGATTGATTGTTTGTTGTTGGAATTGTTGTGGCAGCAATGGAGGAGAATAAGGTGGTTTTCAGATTTAAGTACTTGAGTGTTGTTATTTAAGTACTTGGGTTTCTATGAACACAAAGTTAGGGTTTATTGCAAAAATTAGGATTTTAATTTGAAGAATTGTTGGTAATTTATGAACAAAGAGGGAGAACAAAGTAGATTAATGGATTTTTCAGAAAATTTATGAGGAAATTCAATGAGGAAGAGTGTGAAAGTGAGTTCAGCAACTTCAACAGAGAGGGAAGTCGAAATAGAACGAGAAAAAAAGGGAGGTAAATAAATTATGTGGGGCCCACTGACGGAAATTCCACCGGAAATTTAAAATGGGTGGTCATCTGTGTAATTATTTAATTTAATGGGTGGTTAAATAAAAATAAATTTTATTTGGGTGGTTATTTTAAAAATGGACCTATTATTGGGTGGTTATTTACAAATTAATCTATATATATATATATATATATATATATATATATATATATATATATATATATATATATAAGTTCAAAATAAATTAAATAACTTCATACTTTGTATAATATATACATTAGACAGAATGAGATACACCAAATTAAACCTTTACGTTGGTAGTTGTTCATGGTGCTAGAGATCATGCATTTGACCCGTGAAATTTTGTGGTTCTTGCAATTTAAGAGTATCTTGGACCTTACAATATGTGTATGTCCAAATGCCACTCTGCCCTTTCCAAATATTTTTCTTTTTCTAGCCAATTTTATCAGGATCAATATTTATTTTTAATTTATCACACTAGAGGAAACAAAGAAGTTTAATGAAAAAACTGCTCTTCAAACTGAATGTGAAAATGGATAGACCTAGCGTACTAATTTTATCACAATGTTACTTATCATAAAAAATACTTTGTCCTCCTGATGTATTTCAGAGTTCATATAAGCTGTCTCAATTGTAGCTGATACTTTGTCCTCCTGCAATACTGTTGCTTTCCACAAGTAATTATAAAAAATAAAATTCTAGCATTTGGTCTATGCATCCAACTTAAATATTTGCTTTTCTCAAATGCTTCTTAGTATGCTGAACAACCAGCAAAAACTTGCACTAAGCTGTCACTCCAACCTTTTTCCAGGCCAGCATCTAGAATCTCAAGCCCTATATACACTGCTTTAGAGATGTCTTATGTATCAATAGCTGAAAAAGAAGTCTTTCAAAAAGGTTTTAGAAATTGAACTGATCGTCTTTGTCTGTTTCTCTATAAATCCTGTATACTTGCACAACCTGTCCTCTTTCATACTTCAATAACCTCTAGTGTGGCAATATGGCATTTCTTTGGTCTATTTAGTAAGTTTACCCTGATGCCTCAATAAATGTTAGTGTTTACACCCATGGCCTTCACTTGCTTATAAAGGAATCCATGTTGGCCCCTCCTCCCCTGATGACTATCTTGCTTATATTCGGGTATCATCTTCCTCATCAATATCATTCAGTGATCTCCAACTTTTATATAAATTGCATCAAGCTACATATATTGCATCATCTTGAATTGTTCAGCAATTTTTTAAATTTATGCTACCAAAGTGTTTTTGCACAACACCACAAACTTTGCATCTATTTTTTTTCGATATATTTTTTTCATAGTAGTCAGTAACCATGCATATGAAATTTTGTTTTGTTTTGTATACTGAAATAATTTACAATTTTAGTTTTCCTTTTAAGTCCTTTTGGGCTTTTATGTTTACTGAAGTGCATTATAGGTTTTGTGATGAACTAGTAAAATATCAATTAACCAGACTCATGGGAAAATTTGTGGATGCTATTGGCTTTGTATTTTTGCTCTATGCTGCTTGCTTCTGAATTTTTTCTTATTACTTCTTATTGAATACATTAATGTTATACAAGTATTTGTTTTCTGCAAGCAGACTATTGACCAAGCTCTTGAACTTTTATGCAGCACGTCATGAGCTTTTGGAAAGTATTGGTCTGAGTGCTAGTGCTGTTGCTCACAGTGGTGATTCACTTGCATTGTCAGAATTGACTCTCAAATTTACCGCGCCTCTTAGGGTATGCTTTCCACATGTTTTGTACAATTGCTGAAATAGTGCTGCTATCTGTTGTCTTCATAAATTATTTTTGTTTAGATATTTTTTTGCATGAATCTTGGTGGTAATACACTACATGCAAGTATTTATAGTATACGCTATGGCAGAAGGTGATTTCCTAGAGCCTTGAAGGGTAAATTACATGTTGGTTAGCAGAAGAAACATTTTAATGCTGTTTAGCCTAGCTAATTGGCAATGCAGTTTGGAACTTTTGAACTAACAAGTAATAATCTTGATGGGCCTTATTCCTACCTGAATTTGTTATTTCAAAACATTGCTTATGGTGAGTGCATCTGCTTAAGGGTATGAGTTACTTATGCCATTTTTTTAAAAAAAAGAAATTATTTATTTATTATTATTATTATTTTTTTTCCGTGTTCCCTTAAATAATTACAAATTAGTTTCTGCATTGTATAGATTTATACCTAGAGCGCTTAGGGTTTTGAATTATAATCTGATTGGTTTGTAATGCATCTGCTCATTCCATGTCAAGCAGAGTGGAGACAAATTTGTTGTGAAAGTGAGGGTCTCAGACTACTCTGCTGTTCGCTTCTTCTTTGAGCATTACATTTATAAGTTACCAAATCAAGAGGTTGTTTTCTTATCCTGCCCCTGCTTTATAATTGCATAGTGTTGTTAACGTTTCCTTTGCTTTTCTCTATATACTGAAAGGCCACATCTTTTGTTTGACAGCCTATCCTTGAAGCTAAGGGAACTGCAGTCTGGCTTAACAAAAATTTTCGCCCAATCCGTATTCCTCCCGAATCGAGAGCCAAGTTCCTTAATTATATGAAAAATGGGGTCCCAGCTTGACTGTACAAACTCTCCTGTTTCCTTTTTATTTATTAGCTTTTTCTTATTTTTTATTTTTGGGAAGAGCCTCAAGTGCAATACAAATTACGAATGGGGAAGGGGTTTGAATTACTGTTTCCATTGAGTACGACCTTTTGTTCAGTAAAGTGTTGGTATTATTGTGTCAATTATTTGTATTCTAGAATAATTCTCCTGTATCCTTATTACATAATTATGAAGTAACAAATTTTGAGCAGTTAAACTTTGTCTATCAATTCCTTTGCATGTACACCATGTCTATTACTCTTTAGCAGGCATTCACCCCAGATACACTACCCACTTCCGGCCTCTGAGTGTCTCACCTTCCCTCAAATGGCCGGTTTCTTGTTGTCTTTGATTAATAGATTTGGTGGATTGGTTTTCTGCTGTACAATTTTTACTTGTCGATGGCTGGTGATATTGTTAACAGGGTAGTCAAATTTCAAATAAAGTTAGTCAAGAACTGTCAATTTTAGAAATTCCCTCAGTCTTGGAGTTATCAAGTATGACTCAGAAAACTGTTATCCTCTGACTGTGATTTTTATGCCTTGCTTCACAAAACTTTCAAAGGTTTGAACCAAAACAGAGCAGCCTTTGGAGCTTTTTTCTTCCTTTTTTGGTATATAATTTTGTACCTTAGTACGCATGTGTCGATATTCATTATCAGGAAGCCAAATTTCGCTTCTTTTGTGGAAGTTCCACATTCCAGAGTTTACCATCAGTCAAAGAATGAGCTCAATTTGTTATCATATGTCTATATATATCCTTCATTGAATCCTTCAGCATTTTTATAATAAGGTAATAAAACTATAGCCTATACACTAATAATTTCAAGTGAAAATCTTATATCTACAAAGTATTTACATAATTTTCTGAATACAAATATGAAAGTAACTTGGCTGATTAGTCTTCAGATCTTATTGCTCGTGTTAATAATCTCAGCTTCAGGCAAGTTTCATGTTGCGGCAACAAGAGTGTTGCAAGAAGATTTTACAAGCAGTAGAAATGATCATGTTTCTATGTATCCTTTACATGAAAGGGTAAAGTACCAAATGGCTTATTTGCTCGAACGGTTATCATCTGCACCTAGTGGTGGCGGAGGTGGCCACTGATTCCATCGTTCCATGGATACCCTAGGCTAAAGCTGCACATAAAAATTCAATTATTTCTCTGTTACAAGATAATAATATACATTTTTATTCCTTTTAATGTAGAAAAAGTCAGGGAAAATAGTATCCCGGCTAAGGTCTCTCCTTATGTACTCATGGTTTTTTTTTTTTTTTTTTTTTTTTTTTTTTTAAAACCAGTACTCATGGATTCTCTTAATATGAATGATTAAGTCTCGCTTCCCGTAAAAAAAAATTGATATTAATATGCATTTTTATTTTACAACGAAAATGTCTCTTGATTTATATTTCAACCCAATATGTCTGCATTAGAAATCGATTTTTGAAGAGTATGTACAGTATGTAATATGTATTTTTTTTTTGGTGTTCGTTGTTGCGGGGGATCAAACACATGTTCTCCCTACCAAGTGTAGTCCCAATCACCACTACACTAACACCCAATTGGTGTGTAATATGTATACTTGTTCAATAAATCATAGTTTGGTGTTGTGTTTGTATGTAATAAGTAATAATATACTCCCTCCGTCCCAAAAAGAACGTTCCATTTGGCCAAAACTTTGTCCCAAAAAGAACGATCCATTTGGCCAAAACTTTGTCCCAAAAAGAATGATCCATTTGCATTAAAACACCACCAATTTGCAACAATATTTGTGCAAAATTAGCTTCCCCATATAAAAATTTCATTTTCCATGTTATTTTATTACTTTCTCTCTCTATTTTTTTACAAACCCCATGTAAATTTATCTTTCCAATATACTTTTATTTCTTTTTATTTAACTTCCTTAATACCCGCAGAATCAACCCAAATGGGTCGTTTTTTTTGAGACGGAGGGAGTACAAACATCAATGGAAAGTGATAACCTCCTAATAATCAATTTCATCCTCAAAAGATGGAGTTTCATATGACAATACAGAAATAGTTGAGATAACTTCAAACTTCCTTATAATCAATTTCATCCTCTAAATATGGAGTCTCCCATGAAAATACAGAAATAGTTGAATACTACTGATGATATCGACTCCTGTCAACAATTTGATGCTAAAATTTAAGAAATGTTTATCATGAACGCTATTAAGGAAAATTAAATTTTGATCTTTGTTTATACTTTTTTTTTGTAGTTGCTCCCCAAAGATGCCAAAACCATGCCCTTACAAAAGTCTGTCTTGTGACTCATACAGGACTCATTAGACTATAGGAAGGTCCTTAATGTCAATATACAATAAGACAATAAGTCTTGAGATATAGCCTTGTAACATTGGTTCGTGTTACTAACTTATGAGTAAATAAGAAAAGTAGAGTAAAAGTAGTGGGATTAATCTTGTAATTATTCTTAAGTGACTCAACTAAGGATAATTACTAGATTAATCCCACTACTTTTACTCTATTTTTCTTATTTACTCGTCTCATATAAGACATAGGGCTAATGCTCTCCTCTATTTCGTTTTAACCTAATTTAAACCTTAACCATACCTAATCCGCTACTAGCAAAGGTGTCAATTTAAAGGTCCAAATCAGGTTTAATGAGGTCAGGTCGGATCAAGTTTATTAGTCTAATTTCAACTTGAATCATGTTAAATTATTATGTTCATACGACTTGAAATTGAAATCGGACATTTTTCGGTTCAGTGTCGAATTGAGTAGATTCGGTTTTGACACCTCTACTTAATTATTATTATTTTTTTTCAAATACTTAAAAAAGGCTTTAAAAGTACAAGGAAGAAGCAATGTATACTTGTAACATGTGGAAATGCCTCGTGGCAACGTGTAACGGTATGTGCGATTTGGCTAATAAAGAACACCAGATGTAAACCGCACACAGATTTCTTAAATGGCATAGGCAGTGACGTGAAGTATTTAAATATCAGCAAGCAGTTGAAACTAGCAATTCAAATAGTACCAAATTTTGTGTTCCTTCGACTTATACAAGTTCCAAATATTTGTTCTTATCTTATCTAAAAACAAGAATTGAAAATGGCAGAGGAAGCAGAAGCAGCAGCAGCAGCAGCAGAGAAGAATCAAAATGGAAAGATGATCGTAGCAGTTGATGAGAGTGGGTGTAGCAGTTATGCTCTGAAATGGGCGTTACAAAATCTGGGCGATAAACTCAAATCTGGTGTTATTCTTTTTACGGCCGTTTCTGTTACACAAAGTGGTGTTTTTGCTGGTGGTTACGGCACTGTTCGTATGTCTTCTTTCTCTATTTATTTAACACATTTTTGTTTACAAATTGATTGATTACGAGTAGACTTGGTAAAATTGACCCGTATCTAATTACCCAACCTAGAATACCTCAAGTCTAATTGAAAATCACGTATTCCGATCTTGATCTTCCAAATCGACCCAAGCCAAACTGACAATTAATGTATCTATCACTATATCATCTAGTTTTGATATATTACTTCTTCCGTTCCCTTTTATAGGCTCTTACGGGCATTTTTCACGAAAATTAATAAATACGAAAAAGAATAGTTAAAGAACATTGAAAAAGTAAATTGACATTGGTTATGCAAAAATATGTTATGCAAAAATATAGAGATGAGAAAACAAAATTTATGTTGAAAAGTTAAATTTGTACAAATATTGTTGCAAATTGGAGGGAATTTTGGTAAAAATTAATAATAATAGTTGTTGAAAAAAGCAAATGGGACAAATTCATATTGGCCATAAAACCAAATAATAACACAAGTTTGACTTTTGCATGTTACCTGAATCCAATTGACCTCATCTAACTGACCCAACTGCTGAATTGCCGCCTCTTATTTTACATGATGGTCTTTGTCTTCCAAAGGTGTACATTAAGAACATGATTTTAGTATTTAAAGCGAAATTTAATTATTTTATTCTTGATTTGGAAAATGGACAACAAACAAAACGAATCAAAGAAAACCATTTGATGGCTTTACTTTTTTCACATGCTGTATGTTAGTGTAGAAATATGGCCAAAGTTTAAGTTACACAGGATCATCAAATTCAGAGTAAGCTAGAAAGATTTGGAAAATTCTATACATATTGTATTGTTTGAGTTCCGGGCAACCCTTGATTTAGTTGATTGATCATAAATCATAATACATTTTTGTTAATTTAGTTCTTATAATTTGTAAAATATTAACACTATGTTTGAATAGAAATTTTTGGAAGGGAAGGGAAGGGAAGGGAAGGGAGAGTGAGTGATATAATTTCCCTAATTTGGGTAAGACATAGGGTAAGGGAATCCATTTTCCTCCCAACTTAATGTGAAAATAATATAGTGTACCCCGAAAGAACATTAACCAAATCTCTCTATTGTTGGATCTATTTGGAAGGAAAATGAAAAGTCACTCTCTCCCTCCACTCACCTCCATTTCTCTTCTCTCCTTTTCCTTCCCCTCCCTTTCTCGTCACTATTGTTAATGTTATCCAAACACACAGTAAATGACTATAATACTATACCATTGAAGGAATATAAACTTCCATGTGTTTTACTCTAATAATTAAAATACTTGTATGGAATTATTAACCCTTTACACCCCCACCTTCAAAAAATGTTGGCTCTGCCATTGGTATGGAGTAGGTTATAAGTAAATAACAGATTAACGGTTTTGCACAATATCCCTAGTCCTGAAAAGGGGGAAAACTATTAAGTCTTTGTTTGGATAACTAAGTGGGAGGGTGATGAAGGGAGGGAAGAGAAAGGAGGGGGAGGGGAAAAGGATGAGTTTTCCTCCCAAATCTCTCCATTGTTGGAGAGATCAATTTCTCACAAATTATATTCACCCACTTATTTGAACTTAGGTGAATATGGCCTAACACGGGTTCTGGACAATTAGAACTGAATTGAATATAGAGATCATGTATTTATGAATGTTATTAGCTTCATTTTTAATACTGCATTTCATTAAAAATATTGTGCATTTTCCACATTTAAACTGAAAAGATATACATTAGGTTGATGTATTGGTCTATTGGTTCATTCTGTATAGGAACCCAATGACTAACACGTTTGACAGCACAAAATTTTTGAGATATATCAGTACAACACTTATGTTGGTATTTTTTGTGTTCTGCCTTTGCAGCTCTTGATCTGGTAACAACAATCCAACAGAATCAAAAAAAGTTTGCAACTTCTCTCCTTACGAAAGCTAAGGAAATATGTGCACAATATGGGGTATGAACCTTTAAATCCTCTCTGGTGTTCTCCCATTGTAAAATTCATTTCATCTTTTATTCAGACCACTATTTATTAGACTGATGCTGATTGCCAAACATCAATATAGCGAACATCATGGAACGTTTGTAAACTCCTAGTGATCATAGGCAACCTTTATGGTCCATGGTTTTCCTGTGTTTGTTTATTCTTTATTGGACTAGCTTTCACCTTTCGCATTCAATTGATATTTCCCTTCTTTGTTGTCTACATGATGATCAAGTTAAGTTTTATATTTCTTCAGTCGTATATCTGTTTATGTTAAAACTTTGATCCCCAATTGTGAGTTTAGACTATTGTTCTACTTGAAAGAATGAATAGAAAGATGATTTCAGTTACTCGTATAAGATTAGCTATTCCAACTATTACCAAGTGCTTTAAGTTTGGAACTCGGTCAAGCTAGTATGTGGTTAAACTCTCTTTCAAAATGAGCTGTGTCTACCTCAATGAATGTTTGTCGATTTACTATGGTAAGCACCAAACATATAGCCTGTACTAGACATTTTTGTTGAATATGTTTTGTGCCTCTGTTGGTACTCATTATCTTACTTGCTACAGGTTGATGCTGAGACACTGTGTGTGATGGGAAATCCAAAAGATGCGATTTGTGATGCAGTGGAGAAGTTTCATTGTAATTTACTTGTTATGGGCACTCATAGTCGAGGAGCTCTACAAAGGTTTGTCTAAGATTGGAGAAATTTATCCCAAGATTAACCTGAGCTTTTACATGTTTTTAAATTTACAAAACCCTTTATGCATCGCAGCATCATGTAACAGCATTAACTCGTTAAGTAATAGTACATAACTTCAAAGTTATATAGAGCTCAAGTCACGACATCATATAACTTCAGAGTTCCTTCAAGCATACTCTAATTTGAAAATGTTTGATAGTTTTTGCTGTTGAAATGAAGCTTAAGCAGATTATCTGCTACCCTGCAGTACTACTATTCATACACAGTACGACTGTACGAGCATCTCTTTTTTCCCCTCTAATATACATCTTTCACGCAGGGCGTTTCTTGGAAGTGTTAGCAACTACTGCATTCATCATGCTAAGTGTCCTGTTCTTGTAGTAAGGAAACGAGTCTGAAGGAAATCTACGGTTTGCTGTTATTGTAAATAAGTAGCTATGTTGTAATAGCATGTTATGATAAACTACCGGTGTTGATACTACCTCCGGTCCACTTTACTCGCAATAAAGGAATATTTTATGTCTCACAAATAATACCCTTTTGTTGCGAGTAAATTGGACCGGAGGTAGTAAATGAAATAAAATACTTCCATATTTCTGAAATAATTAGCCACATGTGAATATATGATTGTTTTCATGTCTATAAAAGGGACTCCCTTAGTTTTTTACTCTTTTAATTTTTGAATCTCCACTACCTAATTAGAAAACCAATGTAGAATTGAATCTAATTTCTTTGAACTATTGAGGGTTGGTTCGTCTAAAAAATAACCATGTGTTTGTCTAATGCTTAAGGACATACGGAGTAGATAGTAAGAGGGTGGCCATTGGACATCCAATGACCTGGTCATGAGGAGAGAGAGAACTTTTTATATTAAAAAAATGGAAGAAAGAAAAAAAAGGATGAGAGAAGTTGATGACTATGTCTTTGTAATGACAAATAAAAGTTTGGTCATGAATATATTAATTGACAAGTGGCTACATACTATTGGAAGAAGGAAATGGATATTTGTATGGTAAAAGTAGGAGAGAGAAAATTATGACCAAAGTTATTTTAGGCAACTATTGGGAATCTTTGGTCATGGTTGGTCATGTGACTTGGTCATGGATGAGTGGAAAGAGAAATAAATTATATAATAATCCATGACCAAGAATTTTGGGTCATTCATTGGGTATACTCTAACATGTTATAGGAAACCACAAGTTTTGTTCTTTTGATGCGTAATTGCGTAGTACTTTCTCTATTTCTAGATAAGTGTATTACTTTGACTTTTGCATTATTTATATACTTTAACAGTATTTTATTATTCACCTTATAAATATACGTAATTCCTATTATAATTCCTATTATGCAAATTGTTGTGCGCAATTGCGTAGTTTTTCTCTTTCTTTCTGAATAAGTGCATCACTTTTACTTTTACACTATTTTTATACTTTAACTGTATATTATTAACTTATGTATATGTAATTCCTACTCCCTCCGTTTTAAAAATACTTGCTTCATTTCTTCATGCGCGGAGTTTTAGGAGAAATTAGAGAAATTAATAAAATATGGATATAGTGGGGTTGGTGGAAGAATAAAAAATTGTAAAAATCCAAAAGTGATGGAGAGAATTGAAGGAGAAATAATATGGAATTAATATTGTTGGGTTTTTATTTGGTAAGAGAAATTAATTAAATATTGTAAAAGCTTTCCAAATAAGTGGATCAAGTATTTAAAAAGGGAGGGAGTATTATGCAATGGTTTAATCACTTCTTTTGTACTCCCTCCGTTTTTTTTATTTACATCACTTTCCTTTTATGGGTGTTTTCTTTAAATGCATCACTTCTATATTTGGTAACTTTATACTATAGTTTATCATATCTCTTTCTTACTTTAAACCCCACTCAAATTATTTTATCATTTCTCTCTCTTCCATGGTCCCTACTTAAATAATATTTCCTCCGTTCTTTTTTACTTGACCCGCTTTGACTTTTACACTATTCACCACTCCTCCTTTGACCGTGTTTTATGAATAATAATTAAAGAAAAACATATTAATGTAAGATATTTTCGTTTTAACAAGTACTACCATAATATATAACTTTTATAATTTTTACTTATAAAAGAATTAAAGTTATTGATTGTTAAAGTTTTGCATTGGCAAGCGTGATAAAAGAAACAGGTCAAGTAGAACAGAGGAAGTAAAATTATCTATCTTCTGTCAGAGCATCAATAGTGGGAGTGGCTTAAGTAGTTTTAAGGAGAGAGAAAATTTAAGAAATGGCTCTTAAGTAAGAAATGAGATTATCATATTTACCAATTGTGCTTGGTGGTTCTGAAATAAGCAATAGTTCTTAAAAATAAGAGCCATATGTCACGTGCCGACTACTTTGCCCTAATCATGCACCGTGCGCCACTCGCTTACAGTCCGTCGTAAGACGAGTCAGGCTTTGTCCCTTGGCACTAACTCCTTGTGCCCACGTAGCACAACTCCTTGTGCTGATAGTATAAGTTTGCTAGCACGATCCCTTTGTGCTAACAAGTCCCCTTTGGTTGAACTAAGCACTCACCCTTAGTGTCTTAGTCCGAATTTACGACTAAGTGTCATAGACAATTGAGCACCCAAGCTATCACCCTTGCTGGTATGCCCGATCACTCACTTGGCACCCTCGTGCCTTAGTTTTCCTCACACTCTCTAAGTGTTGGAAGGAAAGGATTGAGTTGCAAGAGAACACAAGTTCTTAAGAAAGGCTTTTTGTATTGCTCTTGTTTCGGGGTTTTCTGATGTCCTGCGGGAGAGTTACAATTCCGAGACTGGAACCGGACGCCTGTACCTGCAAAATAACGGAGACTCCTGAGAGCTCCGCCTCCAACGGTCAAGTTAGTACCTGATTAAGGAGTAATTAATACGGAAATTAAAGTAATAAGATCTCTCTAGGTGAGAGTGTTTAATGTTGGTAATCTGCTTTGTTAGCGAGATTAGCCGGTTATTAGTGTTCCGTAATGTTTCTGTTCTTCTCTGTTCTTCAGGTGAGATTAATTGCTTGATGTTTGCTTGATCCCCTTTAATGAGGATTAATTAAGTATTTATAGTCTTGAGAAGCGTGCCACTCTCTAGGTTTAGGGTTAACCTAGGGCTGACCGGGCCTCTAGACAGGATTGGGCCTTGTTGGCCGGTTTTCCCATTTGGCATGGGTGGACACGTGGCGTGTCTCAATTGGTCCGTAGAGGACGTATCTGTGATTGACACGTGGCAGGCTCCTATTGGCCTACGTGAAGGACACGTGGCGGAACCTGGTTGGTCCACTTGTCAAACGGTGATTGGAGGATAAAAATCCCCTAATCAGCTCTCAACTTAAATGTACAAATGATGCCTTGGAGCCTATTTATAGTGCTCCTCCCTACTTACAACCTATATCTAGACTACAAGGATCTAGAGTGTTCCCACCTCCTTAGGAACTACATACATGGAGGTTTTCTACAAGCTTCCTTCCTAGAACGCTAAGGACTAACCTAGAACATTCTAGAACTTTACATACAAAATGTACCATACTCCCCAAAAAATGCACTCTTACGAAGCCATGGAGAAATCCTTGGCCAACGTAAAAGAACGCCTGGTGAGCCAAGAGAAGAGTCTTACCCAAGAGCTCTCGGAAAAGGCCGAGCAAGAGAAGAAAGAGCTCGTCCGGGAGATGGTGGAAGACTCCGCTCAAATCCAGCGCATGACCTGGGGCCGCCTGTTCCCCAATGCCGACTTTGCCTCATGGGAAAGAACGTACCGCCAGTGTTCGGAAACATATAATCAAGAGATCCTGGCGGCTGCTGAAGAAGAGGCGTTGGGAGATGCGTTGGAGGAGGAGGAAGAGCCGGTTGTGGCGCTTGTGCCACTTGGGGGTAAGGCATCAAAAGAGGATGCAGCTGAAGCCGAGTCCAGCAAGAAGAGTGCTGACCAGGCGGCAACTGCTAATACTGAACTGCCCCCTTCTTAAGCTTAAAGTATTTTTTCCACGGCCTGCGTGCCGTTTGCTTTGTATTTACCCGGCCAGGGGGCCGGGGCTTTGAATATTTTGCTGGTCTTTAATGACCGGCTTATTTTTAATGAATTTTTGTTTTGCTTCAAATTTGTCTAAGTATTCCATATCTAATATCCCATTGTTCACTAGACCGACTGTTGTACATGGCCGAACGTTGCAGATAGGTACAAATAGTAAGTACGCCGCCTATGCCCCTGGACGACTGGTTGTCTGTTTCCAGGATAGACGATCAGTCGGCCATTTATTCAATCGGTATTCGAACTATTTTGTCTGGATCCTTTTTTAGGCAGGCGTGCCTGTCTTTTTGTAATTTTAACCAAGTAGGAAAGTGGTCTGACCAAGTAAATAGTATTACCTAGTCGCCAAGGAATTAAGTAAGTAGGATAACAAGCGGCGGGTACCGGTTGTTTCCCTTTATTGCCAATGTTGGCTTTTAACTCGTAATTTGTTAACCTAGCAAGAGTAGTGGTTGAGAGTCCCTGTTTGTTAAAAACAGGCGGACGACTCATACCTTTTAGGCTCCATACTAAGTTTGAGTGACTATTAAGTTAACATAGGAGTTACTTAGTCTTCGTCACACTCTAGATTGAATAGTAGAGGTACCAGGCGGCGGAGGCCGGCTGATCCTCTTGATTTGCCAATGTTTGTTGGCTATTAACTCAATAGGTTACCTAGTAGGAATAGGGGTTTGAGTGCCCTTGTTTGTTAAAAACAGGCGGACGACTCAAACCTTTTAGGTTCCATACCAAATTTGAAGGAGTGACTATGAGTTAACGTTGGAGCTACTCAGTCGCCGTCACTTTTGTTTGAGAAGTAGAGGTACCAGGCGGCGTAGGCCGGCTAGACCCCTTGATTCGCCAATGTTTGTTGGCTATTAACTCAATAGGTACCCCCTGCATTTATCCCAAGTAATACAGGCGGTCATCTGACTCAGATGTCAACTGCTACCACTGGTTTGGTTAGTGATAGAGTTATCCTTGTCTCAAAAACGGCTACGTGGTTGCCCTTGGGGACAGTCGTATAGGTGCCGTGTAATTAGTTTATAGAACAATGTTCCACCCAAAAGGGAGCTGCTCTCTGCGACGAATTTCATCCGGAGGGATGCCGTCGGACGCCTGCTATGATGTTGGGACAGGTCGTATTAGTTTTGTAGATTTGATCAGTTGGCTTGGCGCCTGGTCTGATCATTCGGCCGGTGGCCTTGGTAAGTTCTTGGTGAACGTAGGTGCTAAGTAAAAGAAGGGTAGCCTCCTGTTAGGCACAGGGTCGGCCAGGCCCTAATCTTTTTAGCTAAGTATTGTGAGTAGCCGACTGTAAAGGTACAGACGGCATGCCCCTCTGAAGATAGAGTGAAAAACTCAATGGAGAGTAGCCGACTGTAAAGGTACAGACGGCATGCCCCTCTGAAGATAGAGTGAAAAACTCAATGGAGAGTAGCCGACTGTAAAGGTACAAACGGCATGCCCCTCGTAATACAAAATTGAATAGTAAGTGCAAACTTTATTAAGTAGCTCTTTACTTTACGTCATTCAGAAGAAATATTTTTTAAGATTATCTACATTCCAAGTTCGAGGCAACGGTTGTCCGTCTGGTGTTTCCAGACGGTAGGTACCGTCCCTGACTTCCTCATAGATTCGGTAGGGTCCTTCCCAGTTGGGAGTTA